TTCTTCTTCTTCTTCTTCTTCTTCTTCTTCTTCTTCTTCTTCTTCTTCTTCTTTCGAGTAAATGTATTTGAACGATGATTTTCGGCACAAAAGGCCTCCCTCGACTGTTTTTGGTTAACAGACACAGTTTACATCACTTTAGAGCCTTGCTTCGACACTTGCTATAACTTTAAGGCACAACCAGGACTGAGAGGGGCAAAACGTCCAAGCAGAAAGAGGGAGATACACGAATAACAGTGACTACAAAATTTGAGTGTATCCAACTAGTACGCTGTCTGTATTTACTTTTGAGCTTGTGTTTGTGTGTATGTGAGTGAATACGTGTGTACGCATGTGTGTTTATATGTGTGTAGGTGTGGGCTTGTGTGCTTGAGTGAACATGTGTGCTTATATATGTGTGTGTGTGTGTGTGTGTGTACGTGTGTGTGTGTGTGTGTGTGTGTGTGTGTGTGAGTGTGTGTCTGTGGGTGTGTTTGTGTGTGACTATGTGCGTATACCTGTGCGTGTGTGCATTTGTGTGTGTATGTGTGTGCGCGTGTGTATGTGTGTGTGAGTATGTGCGTATACCTGTGTGTGTGCCCGTGTAAATCTGCAAGTGTGTATGTATGTGTGTGTGTTTGTGTTTGCTTGTCGTGTATGTGCGTGCGACAACAGAACTCACCGACCTAACTCCGTCAGACAAGAATCGAACCCCGGTCTCCTCCGTCTCCCCGGAGATACAGAACTTGACCTGGGACTTGGTGCCGGCGTTCCTCCGGAGTCCTGTGTGCACGGTGAGCAGGTAGTAGTAGTCGTCGGACGCGTAGTTGTCAGACAGGGGGAACACACCCCACTACATGGGAACAGATGGAATCATTTATCAGTCAACTTATCAAAAGAGTGCACATTATCATGATGTTATACATATACATAAATGCACATACACAAATAAGTAGTAGTAGTGGTCAGAGGCGTAGTTGTCAGACAGAGAGAACACGCCCCACTACACGGGAACAGAGAGAATAATGTATGAGTCAATTTATCAAAAGATATATTCGCTTTTAAGCACAAGGGGCCTATCCCGAAAAAAAATATACATCCACATAAATGCACATACACAAACAGGTAGTAGTAGTCGTCAGAAACGTATTTGTCAGACAGGGGGAACACGCCCCACCACGACATGGGGACAGATGGAATAATTTATCAGTCAACTTATCAAAAGAGAACATATTATTATGATTTTTATACATACACATAAATGCATATACACACATACATTTATACATACACACAAATACACATACACACATACGTTTACTTCCTTGTTCTTCTTCTTCTATCACGTGGTTGGGGCATTCGTAGGGGCACCACTGCATCTGAATGCCAGCTCTCGCCATTTGTCTTTGCCCTCTGCTTTCCTCAGATTGTCACCCATCGTCTTTCCTGTCCACTCAGTAATGTTGTCCTCCTTCTCTGCCTTCCTCTCTTTCTCTT